CTTCACTCATGAGGAGCTGGAGACTGCCGTTTTATCCCTAAAAAACAACAAGGCTCCTGGACCTGATGGGGTACCTGGCGAGGCTCTTAAGAAGGTTTTTTCAATCAATCCCCTGATTCTTCTGAGCATGTACAACGCCTGCCTAGCAGAGGGGGTATTTCCGTTGTGCTGGAAAAAAGCTAGGCTCGTGCTCGTAGGGAAGGGGAAAGGAGACCCAGAATTGCCGTCCTCTTACAGACCCCTTTGCATGTTGGATACGGCTGGGAAAGTCCTAGAGAAGTTGATCCGTTCCCGACTGAATTCAGCCGTGGTTGCTGCGGGGGACCTGAGCCCTCGCCAATACGGCTTCAGGAAGGGGCGATCAACGGTCGACGCTATTGAGGAGGTGAAGCAAGCCGTGATGAGAGCTGAGGATTTTAATCACTACTCTCGTAGGTTTGTGCTGCTCGTTACACTCGATGTGCGAAACGCATTTAATTCTGCAAGATGGTGCGATATGCTGGACGCTCTGGAGAACAACTTCCACGTCCCGGCATACCTCATGCGCATTATAGAGGATTACCTCCGGTTCCGCCTCCTCATGTATGATACTACAGAAGGCCCGCGGACGATGAGTGTCACTTCTGGTGCTGCCCAAGGTTCCATACTCGGCCCGGACCTCTGGAACGTTGCCTACGACAGCCTCCTTAGGTCTGAAATGCCTGAAGAAACCGTTCTAGTTGGGTACGCAGATGACATTGCAGCTTTAATAGCTGCTCGTAGTGTTGAGCTGGCCCAGCTAAAATTAAACCGAGTCATGCGAACTATAAACGCATGGATGGCAGATCACGGTCTCTCACTCGCGCTGAACAAAACTGAGATCGTGATTCTGACCAAAAAGCGGATTGACACCATTGTGCCGTTGAGGGTGGGGGACGTCGAAGTCCAGTCCGTTCGTGCCGCCAAGTATCTTGGTGTCATGGTGGACTCTAAGCTTAGCTGGCGGGACCAGATATTCCGAACGGCGGACAAGGCCGCTAAGGTGATCTCTTCTCTTAGCCGGTTAATGGCCAATGTCGGAGGTCCTCGTTCCAGTCGCAGAAGGCTGTTGATGTCTACAGTTCAGTCTGTGCTCCTGTATGGTGCGGAGGTGTGGGCAGACGCGCTCAATAAGGAGGTGTATAGGATGCGGCTTGCCAGAGTGCAGCGTCAGGCAGCACTCAGGGTAGCATCCGCCTACCGAGCAGTGTCTGAACCTGCCATCTTGGTGGTTGCTGGAGTAATCCCCGTCAAACTTTTGGCGGCGGAGAGGAAAGCGATTTATCAGCGGCGTGGAGAGGACCATGCAAAAATGGAGGAGCGCAACCGCACCTACCAGCTCTGGCAAAAGAGCTGGGAACAGGAGTCGCGGGGACGCTGGACCAGGAGACTGATTCAGCAAGTCCAACCATGGGTTGACCGACGGTATGGTGAGGTGGACTATTACCTTACCCAGTTTCTGACAGTTCACGGGTTTTTTCGGTCGTACCTGTTCAGGATGGGCAAAGCCGTGTCACCCGATTGCATCTACTGCCCAGGCACTCCCGACGACGCGGAGCACACCTTCTTCCGCTGTCAGCGTTGGGAAGGTTCCCGCCTGGAGGCTGAACAACATGTAGGGCAGTTGTTGGTGGACACGGTCATTCCGATGATGACGGAGGGTGAGGACAATTGGACCTGTATGTCACATTTCGTCCAGGATATTCTCCGCACAAAGAAGCTAGAGCTTGACCGAGATGCGGTCTAGGTCATAAAGAAAATTGAATGCCAGAAACGGCGCGAGCCCTGAGGGCTTAGGTCACACGTTGACCTGACCTGAAGTAATGTGACAAACAATCCCAGGTCTGTGTCCAACAGAGTAGAGGGGGTTTTTTAGTGAGTAGTCTGACAAGCTCAGGAGTCTCACACTACAGGCTGGCTACCTGTGTGCGTAAAAGCATTTTTACCTCCTCTCCCTTATAAAAAAATAAAAAAATAAAAAATAAAAGAAGTCAAAGACTACAAAGATAAACTATGGAACTTCTTGTATAGAGGGTGTCCCGTAAGTAAACAGCCAAACTACGGGAAATGGTTCTATGGGTCAAAACAAAGAGAAAATCAAGAATAAAATTTTTCTCAAAATCACTTTGTTAACCAGATATTCGCCATCTATAATATTAAAACGAAACAGTGTTTTTTTATTTCACGATTCTGAATCAACCACCCGACGGATTTTCATGATTTTTGTGTTGAAAGAAAGATAATTTTGAGAACTAGGGAATGTCGAAGCCATAATTTTAGTTTAGGGTCCCAGTTTTTTAGAAATTAAGTTTTAATTTTTAAAAATTCTAGCAGCCGACGCTAAGATTCTAAACTAGCTTTTAGCATAAAATAATTTGCTTAACATAACAGCTGTAAATATTCAGCTTTTGTGTCACAAATTAAGCATATGGATAAAAATATAAAGACATACTTAGGGTTGACTTATTTATACTATGTGTAATGCTAATCATTGATACGTTCAATTCTTCTGTAAGAGGATGACAGATTAATTAAATATACATAGTAAAATACTATTATGTTCAAATGATTTTTTAAAGCAATCTTTGTAATCTTCGATTTGTTTTAGAGCAATATAGTTTGTTTTAATTAACAGCTGGTTAAATAAAAATTATGGAACTATGAGGTTATTTTATTGCTTTGTCATAGATTATAGGAAATAAGTAAGATTAGTAGAGATAATTAGACCACAGTTTAAACCAAAATTAATTAAACCACAGTACAAATCGAGGCTCTGTACACGAGTCTTAATAAAAAAGGATAAATGCAAATTATTTTACTGCTCCACTTTTCAAGGAAAGATTAGAAAAATAACAATGTTTACATGTTTTAATTCTTCATGGTAGCTTTCTGTTTACAATTAATGTTTGTCTGCTTTAACTTTGTTTGGATTAGGCCCGGAAATATTGATGTCATAAAAAGAAGATCAAGAATAATCAGGAATCTCGATTTTAAATTACCACCACAACCTCAGCCGGGTTTTATACAAAGATAAACAGGTGGATGACATAGATTGAACACAACATCAACATTGACCTAGGATACTGCAATTAGACAAACCATCCTTTTATGAAATCGTTTTCAGTTGTAGTTACGTTTGGGGGCGCCTATATCAGCGCCCCCCAAACGTGAAAATATCACTTTTATTTCAACTATGAATATATTGTTTAAACTAACTAATATGGGAAATTACGATGTACATTTATTCAATGAGGGTGGGTAATTATCAAGGATAGGACTGATAACGGTATGGATAATAAACATTGACAATTACGTCATTAGCTTTACTATCGTAGAGTGTTTACTTTTTATATTCCTGCTACATGTGACCAGTTATTTTTTCAAATGAATGTTATTTGAACCAAACAGCTGTTTCAAAACAAACTGTTATTGTTTTTACGTTTCTTTGTTTACGCTTATTTATTTAGCAATTAATGCAGTGAAATTGATATAAAGGATAGAGGTGTGACGATTAGTTTTGATGTTATGACACCAAAGTTAAATTATGTGTACCGCACATTTTATTGGATACTATCGTTTTATTTTAGGTCGTTTCTATTCAGACCTACTGGAAATTGTGTATAGTAGATTTTTGTATTGTGGTGATAATAATTATGGAAGAGGGAGGTATGCTATGGAAGGTGGTATCGTTGACTAGGTCTATACACTTCTCAATTGACTATTACTCTCTACTGTAGGTTACTTATAATCAGTGTGGGTCTGTGCGAATCGGCTGCAAATCTCACTTCAACGCTGTTTTATTGTAAAATTATCGGATTTAAAATGCATATCGTATAGGCCTATGATGGAATAAAAACATATTTGGTCACACAACATTTGTTTACAAGATGATTTTTCACATTAAAACTGCAAGAAATTTGGTCTTTATATTTGTAAACTAGCTGATCTGAATTGTACACGGTTTTAACTGACTACTGAATTCCCGTACGTAGGACGGGCTAACACCTCGTTTTGTTTATTTCGCATTAACATTTTTATCTTTAAAGTTTTTCAACCAATCATTATGAAACTTGGTATGCATGTTATGGTAATAGAGACCCATGTTAGAAAAAATTCATCTTGATTCATCATAAAATTTCAAAATGGCATTTAAATTTTTTTAACTTAAATTACTAAAAAATGGCTGATTTTAAGAAAAAATGACAAGTAAACTTTTATTTGGCATTTTTAATTCCCTATCAAATGACACCAAGTTCAAAAAGATTGAATAAGAAATAACTGAAATATTACGATTTTTAGTTGTAAAATGGGGTAGAAAAAGGCTAAGCTAGTCGATTTTGGAAAAAAATATTATTCTTGATTTTCTCTTTATTTTGACCCATAGTACCATTTCCCGGAGTTTGGCTGTTTACTTAAGGGACACCCTGTATACACTTAACCAATAAATAACCGTAAATTTAAAATAAATATAACAGCAAAAATTACGGAGCCGAACTAATTACACGTTCACTCATGCAAGTTCATCCCCTCTCTCTGCCCCCTTATGAATGTTTTTGTAAAAATCACATACAGACAGATAGACCGAAAACGGAATGAGATAGGACCCGTGTTATGTTATATTTTTTGTTTCTTTTACTTGCTGAATAACGAGCCAAAGTTTGTAAATATGGTTGCAAGACATCCTATTTACAGTCTTTTTTAAAACAGTATTAGTGTAAATATGTTTCAAGTGTTATTAGATGTATTTTCATTCACTCCATTAAATAGATAGATTTTCAAATTTAGGGATATTACCAGTAAATATATGCACTTTTGGACCAATTTATTCTTTTTTTTTATTACTTGGTCTATCCAACTACAGATATTTGCAAAAATCAACCATGCAATACAATATTTAATGGAAATATGGAGTATTTCATTTGGGTTGAAAAGAAAACTTACTTGATGGGTAATATGTAGTACACGTAAATGTGGTTGACCAGGTAAACAACAACAGTCTGACGGTAATGTTGACGTCACCAGTGACAGCTGCACAGCACGCAGCGCAACAGTCTGCGTACCAGGTGCCACCAGCCTGCGTACCCATGGAGTACCATGGCGAGTGTCATGTCAACTATCTACGCAAAATGCAGGCCTCCTTTGCCTGGGACTGGGGTCCAGCATTCCCATCATTGGGCATATGGTAAATAGCAAATAGTTTGTTGTATTTCCAAAATAAAAACCAGTGGCGGCTATTGGGATTGAGTGGGGGGGGGGGGGGGTGAAATATAAATATCTATATCTATATACTTATTTAATACGCAAGCAGGTTTTTTGTGTCATTGGAAAGAGCGTAACGTGAAGTTGTGCAGGAAACTTTCTTTTTAGGGAAATAATTAGAGAATGAGGCCCTGAGGCCCTTTAAAGTTTTGTATCTCTCCATAAGATTAACATGGGAAACAAACATTGTTAAGAAACTCCAGCTGTATTTAGAAATTAAAAGTGAGAAGAAGACCATATGTTAATAGTAAACAGTCAACAATTTTGCTATTAACAGTTTGGCACAAACATATACCGACTTGAAATGAAAAATTTACTATTTTGATTTGGGTTGGCGTGAATATTACAATGGAAAAAATCGAGAGAGCCTAGATAATTTGATATACTAAAAAGAAAACTGAATTAACACTGTGTTGCATTTCTTAGTATTCATAGAAAGAGCCGATTTGCAAACTATGGAAACATAGGAAAGTCATAGAACACCACCAAGGAGAAGAAATAGAAATAATGTTTTTTTTTTTTATATAATCGTTATTATAGACAACCTAATGCAGCTATGAAAATGCTATGTACAGTAGGAAACACTAAAAAATAAGACCAGCTTTTGAAAAATGACAAGATATTTACAAAAAATGTTGATTATATCGATCTGTTATGTACATCTTGAGTATTTCCATAATCCTTGAGTCAAATTTTTTAAAGTCGTCAGAAATTATGACTGTTATTCGTTTTAAAATAACGCCTGTAATACTTAGCAATTGCTCGAATTCGAGCATCAGGTACACTAGTACTTATTTAATATGCAAGCAGGTTTTTTGTGACAATTACTCCTCCCAAACTACTGAACCGATTGACATGTTTTTGGTGTCATTGGAAAGAGCCTAACGTGAAGTTGTGCAGTAAACTTTCTTTTAAGGGAAATAATAAGAGAGTGAGGCCCTGGGGCCCTTTAAAGTTTCGTGTTTCTCCATAAGATTAACATGGGAAACACATTGTTATGAAACTCCAGCTGTTGTCAGAAATTAGAAGTAAGAAGAAGAACATATGTTAATTCTTAACAGTTTGTTAATCTAACAGTTTGCTACAAACATTTACTGACTTGGTTGAAATGAAATACCGGGTGTCCGAAAAATAACTCCCTAGTTTTGATAAACGATTGTTTATTGTAGAGAATACATATTCTTATATCTAATACATGAAATTAAAGAGGGTTTACTCAAGTTTATTTTGACATTAGTACACTTCGATATGTGACCCATTTGTAGCGCTACAGATATCTAACCGGTATTCGATCTCTCTCCAAGTGTTAGTTAACATATCAGGTGTCACTGATTCTACTGTAGCTACGATTCTTTGACGAAGATGGTCAATGTCACGTATCTTTTCTGAATAAACCAAGTTCTTAACGTAACCCCACAGGAAAAAATCCAGTGGTGTTATGTCTGGGCTTCTTGGAGGCCCTTTCGGTTTCCCGGCAAGATGGATGGGGAGAGCTGGCCCGATAGCGTGGCCTCCAAGAAGCCCAGACATAACACCACTGGTTTTTTTCCTGTGGGGTTACGTTAAGAACTTGGTTTATTCAGAAAAGATACGTGACATTGACCATCTTCGTCAAAGAATCGTAGCTGCAGTAGAATCAGTGACACCTGATATGTTAACTAACACTTGGAGAGAGATCGAATACCGGTTAGATATCTGTAGAGCTACAAATGGGTCACATTCGAGGTGTACTAATGTCAAAATAAACTTGAGTAAACCCTCTTTAATTTCATGTATTAGATATAAGAATATGTATTTTCTACAATAAACAATCGTTTATCAAAACTAGGGAGTTATTTTTCGGACACCCGGTATTTACTATTTGAATTTGGGTTGGCGTAAATATTACAATGGAAAAAAGCGAGAGAGCCTGGATAAATAAATATACACTATAAAGAAAACTGAATTAACACTGTGCTGCATTTCTTAGTAATCATTGAAAGAGCCGATTTGCAAACTATGGAAACATAGGAGAACACGGCCAAGGAGAAGAAATCGAAATTTTTTTTGAATTTATAATTGTTATTATGGACAACCTAATGCGGCTATGAGTAAGGCTATTTGTAGAAAACACTAAAAAATAAACGGTATCAGCATTCTGACACATACTTTCTCCCATAAGCTTGTCAACAACCTTTATCATGGGTAAGCGGTGAGAGTAAATATGATATTTTATAGATAAAAATCACAAAAGTTGCAATAACTTTTGAACCGTAATTGTTACAGCAATGGGTGTTTTACTATTTTTTTAGAATTATTAGGACCATAACATATTAATTTTTATCAAAACCAGCTTTTCTCAAAAAATCAATTTTTTTAGCGAATTTCCTATATAGGGAATAAGCAATTACCGTAGTACTCACAATAAGACCTGGACCCGGGACCGATATATTTTGTAGTTTTGAGGTCCCTAGAAGCCAAAAACACCATCCGTTCAAATTCATATATATATATATATATATATATAGAAATAATGTTTTTTTATATATTTTATATATATATATGTGTGTGTGTCCGTTAGTGTGATAACTCAAGTAAAAATCATCCGATTTTGATGAAATTTGGTGCAAACGTGTAAACCTACGTTTATTCAAACGAGTTCGTGAACCAGTATAATCGGACCATGGGAACAGGGGTTTATGGGGGATTTACGGGGTAAAAATGGGTTTTTCCCATTTTTTACCTTAAAAACAAAAGATTTTGCAATTTCTTATATAACTGTTTTGTAGAGCTTAAAAAAAGAAATAATTTAGTATATTGAAGCGCTGTTGTATGCGTGGCGGTCACAGAGAAAATTCAAAAATAGTGTAATTCAAAATTCCTATGTTATTTTTATGGAGAAAATGAAAACTGTTGTAGTTTTCTTGTTTATGGATATATGCTGATAAAATTTGGCAAATTTATTTATTTCATTCTATACTATTGACGGTTGGTCAAAAAACACTTTTTACCTTCCCCGTAGCAACAAACCTAAACACTCGTTAAATCTAATGTTATTTAAATTGGGAATAAATATGTCTTATTCATGGAAATATTTTAGTAATAATGTAATCAGGCAAGTTGAAATTCGCTTAGTCTGCAGGTTTGCTGTGGTGGAGGTATTGTTATTTTATTGTTTTTTTTTTTTTTTTTTATGGGAAAATAGCATAAGTTACATTAGCTCTTGAACCGTAATTTTTATGGAAATACAATTTGTACCATTTTGCTAGGATTTTAAAGGACTATAACATACTAAACTTTTTAGAAATCGTTCGTACCATTTTTGAGAAAATCAGATTTTTGCGTTATTTTACTGGGTTTTATGGGGAAATCCCCATTAAAAATCAATCTTTCAAGAAAGTGAAAAAAACTTTCAAAATTTTAATGATAAGTTAAATCAAAACCGGCTTTTATTCTAAAATCCTACGTATTTTTTGTTGTTATGCGGTTTTTATGGGAAAATAACATATTTACAATAACTTTTGAACCGTAATTTTTACAGTAATGGGAGTCGTACCATTTTGTTTAGAATTTAAAGGGCTACAACGGGATCACATCATTTGTCCGAGTTTTCAACTGTCTGAGTTTGTTAAAAATTACAAAATATTTGAAAAATCATTTGTCCGAGTTTTCAACTGTCCGAGTTTTGATAAATAACTAATAATATCTCGTTAAATCAACTGTCCGAGTTTTCATTTGTCCGAGTTTTTAAATTATTTAAAAAAATATCAAAATATCATTTGTCCGAGTTTTCAACTGTCCGAGTAGGGGCAACATCAAAATGTGACAATGCGCGCCGAGACTAGCGTGTCTAAAGCGCCTGTTCAGAAGTCGATGTGAACCCCTTCTGTGAAGGAGTCAGGCATTGTGCGAGCCGCGAGAGCCCCTCACGTCGAAATTAGAAAAATTATTTTATTTTTATATAAGACTAATTTTACAATTATTAATTATAAAATTAAACTCTCATCACCTAACACAACCAACCAAACTTGCTGATAATATAAAATACCCCCGCCATTATTATATTATCAGCAAGTTTGGTTGGTTGTGTTTGGTGATGACAGTTTAATTTTATAATTAAAAATTGTAAAATTAGTCTCATAATAAAAATAATATAATTTTTCTTAAGTTATAGTTTTATATGCAGTTTATATAGTTTTATATAGTTTTAAATGCATTAACAATTTGATATGACATTAGGCAATTTTACTTACCCACCGTGACAACACTATGTGCTTCGTATATTCGTTAACTTTCAAAGTAAGTTGAACAACAGAACTGGCAAATATTATTCATCTCACCAAGTAAATGTGTATCTGGATGGGTATCTGTTAGACCAGGTCTCTCTTTTTCTACTCTCCTCATACACACAAGATATCTTGTTATTAATTGTCTCCTCCTCCCGTGTTCAATAGAAATCTTCTTTGAACTTGAGGCATTTTCTGTTCTTCCAACAAAACTGATTAACTGTTTAACTTGGCCTTAACCTACTCAATATTACAAACATTGATATTTACTCCCAAAAAGCTGATGAGTCTCTTTTTATAAACAGCTGTTTTTGTTTTTAAATTTGTTCTATGTATTTCTTATGGGAAAAACCCGACCTTTGAGAGTGTCTCACGCCCTTATGAGTAGGAATTTTAAAATTCTAAAACCGTATTGCAAAACTACATATTGAGACAAATCTTTTGACCAGGGCCGATTTACCAAATAGGCACGTTAGGCACGTGCCTAGGGCGCGAGGCAATTGGCATTTTTGGGGGGCGCCAAATAATTGGAAAATAAAAAGAATTGGTGGTTGTATTTGCATGATCGCGGTAAACTTTTGATGATCCCACCCGGCCGTGTAGACATTGTAACTGTCTGTCAGATTGAGGCAAAATTTTGACTATTTTCCAAAGTCGT